CAAAAAGGAAAAAAAGCTTTCTTATATGTGTGACACAAATTTTTATAGCTCCCGCCATCCAGGAACATCACTACACACATGATCCACTTTAGACCAATCTACATTCACAACAGTGGTAACCCCAAAAGGTGATACAGAAATTATAACAATACATACGCATAACAAAGATAGAGAGAAACAAAAAAGAAAACCCAGTATGATATCACTTAAGAACGGAATGTGATTACATAAATTAAAATTTCTTTATACAACTAAATACAGTAACTATAGTGGCGGAGCACTACAAAAGTCACTACTATTTCTGCACCACTTCTCCCTTTTCTGACTAAAGGATATTAATATTAATGTTACTGTGAAAAATAATTACCACTGAGAATCTACTATATGATACTGTCCTGATTGGGATAATAAATAAAATAATGAACCAATAAATCAAAAAAGTTCATATGAAATTTACTGGTTAGACTTCATTTCTCAAGTTTTATTTAAATATTAATGTTAACTGTTTAAAGTTTCATTAAAATATTGATGCAAATTTTTTAGAGGATATTGATATAATTGTTAATATAATATAACTAATGTAAAAACTATTCATGATACTTAAAAATTTAACTACTGTTGATATTAAACTACTCTCTCTCCAAATAACAATTGTGTTGGCATTTTAATGAGTGGTGTAATATTATGGCATAGATAACAAACATGCCATCAACCTTCTCTTGCTGCTCCTCTCTTCTCAGGTGAATCAGCACTCATGTAACCAAACTAATTTATTTACCTGCCATGTTCCACATTCAATTAGCCATAACTCATTATGGTCTATAAAATGAAATGGTTTGGATGATTACATTATCATATCAAACACTACCTCTGTGCCAAAATATATCAAAATTGGTGGGGGACATAGATGTATTACTTCTTGTAAGTGATCTACTTTTTTTATGTGATGTACAGTCTTTGCCTCAGGAAGTATCTGTCTCAGTTTATCTGAATTTCTAACTTTTCTTTAATAAAGAAGATATATTTTTTCTTAGCCATAAAAAATATTATAGTTAAGAAAAAATATAGCTTCTTTATCAAAGAAAATTCAGAAATGATAATGGATAAAAGATAAAGAAGGCTTACCATAATATTTTTTTCTCAAACTAGGACAATTTTGAGAAAATACTCACAACAGAAAATAAAACCTACTAGGATAAGTACATACAATTGGAAAGGCTAAATAAAGTTGTTAACAAAAAATGAGTTAAAAGCAATTTTTAATAACTCAACTGAACATACCATATTATTAAGAAGTTATTAATATTTATCACTATATTTATATTTATCTAATATTTATCACTGTAAACTTTATTTAAAAATTCTATGTTATTTTTAATGGCATTGAAATTTAATGCAATTTAAATCAGTACCTTTAAAATATGACAATATATTTGAGGAAGTTTCTTCCACTGCTACTAGACTTGTTTTATGTTTTGCACATTTCAAGTGATTTTAATGTCTGAATGCCAACCATGAGTTACTGAAAATTCTGAAAAGCACAGTTCACATTTCACTTTGTCAATATGATTACAAACTTTTTTCAAACACAGATAATCCTTTTTTAAATCATCAGTAAACACAGTTTCTTTTTAGCATTTTGAAGAGTAAATTAATTTAATGCACAGTGCAAAATAATTGCAAATGCCAACTAGCAATTTGAACTCAACTAAACTAAGATAGGACATATGCAACAATGACATGCCAGTGTAAGTGTTGCCAACTCTAATTGAAAGAAAATATGTAAAAAAATGAAATATAAACATCAGGATCTCAGGATACATGCTATTATAAATAATGTGAAAGAATAAAACATCTAAATTCATTAGGTCACATGCTATAAATTTTGAGTGAAAACATCTAGACAAAATTGCATTTTGAAGGTTGTAGAACATAATTACTTTAAAAAATGAAAAATAATTATATCATTTGATTTCAAGATATTTTGTATATCTTAAAAATTCCCAGGATAGAATTAATTATAAAAAAGTGAACTGTTTCCCGAAATCCCAGGACAAGCAAAAGACCAGGAAATCAGAAACCCTACTTCATATCAACTGCTGAAACTAGAGTTATGGAAGCACATAAAGATACCAGTTTGCATTACTGGGACATAAGCAATTTTATTGAAGATTTTCAGGATTCCAGCAGTGAAGCAAAATACATCTGCTACACATAATGTCAATGATTCATCTAGAGATGAAGTAAGTGCTATTTCTGAAAGTGATATTGAAGATGAAGGTGATTTGTCTGATTCTTGAGTTCAAGTGGAAGTTGTATGTAGAATATAATGACAATTTTCAGTGCTTTTGGTTTACAGTGACAAGTAGTGGTCCACAGTATAATAGGCCATCAGATAAGGACCTATAAACAGAAAAACACACAAAAAAAGGAATGCAAAAGGTTAATTGTTAATAGTTAGCTAAAATATAGCCTGAATAATCTGACATTTAATCATTCACTTATTACAGAACATTAAAACTTGGTTGTTTATATACTGTATATCTACAATAAATAGCTAATGAAACAGAAAAACACAATACTTTCTATGCATATCAGTAAGTGTCAGGTTTTCAATGGATGCTCTGGAATTATAGGATAAATGGTGCTGCAGGTTATATAAAGGTTTTATTTCCATTCTAGGAATTTTCTGCAGGGTATACAGAGGTGCAGGATACATGCTACCACGATTATCCACATGAAATTATTTTATATTTTAGTTTAATTACATACTTATAATAATTCTGTAAATAATAGCTGGTAAGTAATAATTATTTAAAGCTAAAAATATAAAATTTAAGGAAATATGAAAAGTTGAAAATATAACTGTCCATCTAATATATTGCATTCCATTCATGTGCTTTCATTCTAAATAGAACATAAAACCCAATAAACAAAAGATTTTAGGAAGTGAAACTTTAGATGAAATGTTTTTTGAGATCATTTGTTTCAGCTTAAGACCTCAACTGTTGTCTGCTCTGCAAGCAGAAGTGAGCAAAATAAGACTAAGGACTGTCATAAAATAACTTCCAAGCAGAAGGGATAGATTTGGCTTATATCTCTTTTACTTGGAAGTTATTTTACAATACTCTTTAGTCTTCTTCCCTCTTCTGAATTCATGTACTGTACATTAGTAGATCCTCCCCCTTTTCTGTGTTGTATGTATATATATATGAAATATAATAAATAAACTTAAAGATATATACAGGGTGTATCAGAATGATTTTTTAAAAATTTGTGGGATTGTAGAGGATGAAATTTTGAACATTTTGATGTAAGGAACCCATAGCCAGAAATATGATATAAAGTTTCTACAGCGGTAGGAAGTGCTTGATCGCCCTTCACTTTGATAGTTACCCATTCATCCATCGATGTCATGTTATTGTTCTTGACTTCTTCCTCTGAGGTTATGTAAAGTCCCTTGTGTACACAATACCTGTAGGAACAGTTCATGAGCTTACGATGGATATACACCTGTAGGAACAGTTGTTGTATATCCGAACACAGTAAGATCTCTGTAAGATGCCACGCTCCCCTCTGGTGGTATGAAATGCTGTAAAAATGTGCATTTTTACAGCATTTAATACCATCAGAGGGGAATGTGGCATCTTACAGAGAGTTGGGCAAAACATGGTTTGTCATTGCATATTATGTAACAAAGTTGGTGATCGTCACATTGAACATTTACTCTAAAGTAGTGCAGCCACTGGTTTGATGTAAAGTTTGATTGCCCTCTACTGTTTTGTCAATAAAACTTTTCATAAATACTGTATTCTGCTGTTTCATTCAGCATACTGACTGCAAAGTGCAAAGTGCTGTAGAAACTTTATATCACATTTCCGGCTATGGGTTCCTTATATCAAAACATTCAAAATTTCATCCTCTACAATCCCCCAAATTTTTAAAACGTCATTCTGATACACCCTGTATATATCTTTAAGTTTATTTATTATACTTTGTTCGTTTATTTATGTAGCTTTATTCTTTTATATTTGTACTTATTTTTTTCTTTAGTATTATATATTAATGAATGTTGTTTGAATATTTAAATTATTCTTGTTTGTTTTTGAAAATGTTCCATTGTTGAATATAAGTTGAAATTGACATTCTCTGATTTAAACATAAATGTTATATTCTAAAATTGAACATTCTCAAACAGAAGTTTTAACAAACATTCTCTTCCTGTAGTTGTAACCTGAGGAAGGCCTATCAAAGAGATCCAAAAGATTAGTCAGATAAAATTTATTTTGATGGAAAAGAAAGGTGTTTGTGTATGATTTGAATCAAACATTCCAACTTGTTGCTTAGCTATTTTTATGATATTTAAGCATACATAAATTTATCTTTAACTCAGAAAGTTGGTGATTAATTAAAGGAATGAAAAATAAACTAAAGAGAAAATATGATATTGCTGAAAAATGTGGAATACTGATGAACACTTCTTGCAGAGAACTAGTTTAATTTTCAAACATGAATAATTGAATTTTTGATAATTTAAACTATTTGATTCCCTCTTATCAATGCTTGAATTAAAAAGATTTGACTAAACTATAACTTAAGTAGGTATAATTAAATTATATAAGAATATATCTTTAACATAAAATTTTTAAGAATGATGTATGTAAAAAATTGATCTTCAAATAAATTGAATAGAAAATTTTTCATTTAAGATTGCTAAAAGAGTTAGATTTTTTGTTTGTTTTATAGTGTTGTTATTAAATAAAATACGTTTGTTTTCTTTCATTTGCAGCTTTCTGAGATGTATTTTTTTTTAATATGATTTAAAAAACTGATTTTGATCGTTATTCTTAAGAACGTATTTAGAAAAGTAAAATCAGATGAAGTAATACATTATGCTAAAATTTATTTGATAACAATTTTCTTCAATTTTTTATTATTGAAGAATTATTTAATATCTTTTATGATTTAGTAAGTGACATTTTTTTATTTTATATTCTTAGAAATAGTCAGAGCATGCACGCATTGTATAAATAGAGGCATGGCTCTTTACTGGGGGACTTCACGTTGGTCTGCTATGGAAATTATGGTAATAAAAATATTAATGTTGAAATCAATAATATTTGATTTGATGAAACTTTATTATCAATATATAAATTATTTTTAATTTATAGGAATCCTACACAGTTGCTCGCCAATTCAATCTTATCCCTCCTTCTGTAGAACAGACAGAATATCATTTGTTTCAACGAGAAAAAGTGGAAATCTATTTGCCAGAATTATTCCATAAAATTGGTATAGTTTTTAAATTTATATAAAAAATCTTAATACTTAATAATAATAATACGATTAATAGTAGTTAAACATTTTAAGCAATGAATTATTTTACAAGTTACAAGTTAAGTGATGTTTTCAACATAAATTTTGATTTATTCTGTTTTATGACATGTATTTTTAAGAAAGATTTTTATAAATTATTCTTGTTTTAGGCACTGGCTCTATAACATGGTCGCCACAAGCATTTGGTATTCTGACTGGCAAATTTGATGAGGGAGTACATCTGTTATCTCGAGGGTCTGTCAAGGTATGAACTATAAATGATATCTTATGATATTTGATGTTATAAATGAAGATTTTTTATTTTATTTAGAAAAAAACTGACAATTAAATCTTGATTATCTGAATCCAAAATACTTTATACTTTCAATATCAAGGGAACATTTTCAGATGTGTTCAACCAATTGGGTTAAATCTTTGCAGTCTAACAGAAGATATTTATATGTTAACTATATAACTGATTTTATCTGCAGTTTTTGGAATATATGAGATATTTGAAGTTAAAAGTTAGTATTAAATTCCAAATATGGATTGCCAAATAGCAATTATCAGTTAATAATAGATGTAGTGATATTCAAGCAGCAGTTGGGACAGAGTGCATTTATAATGAGGGCTTGTACCATGCTTGGGATGTTCTGTTAAAAAATAGTTTGACAAGCTTTATTTCTTTAGTACAAAAATTGAATTCAGCAAAAAATTGCAAGAAAAATTTCTAAACTAAAATATTTGTAAAAATATAAAGAAATAATGATAACGAAAATCAAAATAATAAATTTATTATTAAACTGATTTCCATAATCAAAATATCAACCTACAGAAGCAAAATGTAATTCAAAAACATCCTAAATGTGTAAAAATTTGTGTCTTTTTCAGAATTTCACTATGTTACAAGATAAACACTTGGGTGCAGACCTTGATGGTCGCAGTCCTAGACATCAGTCTAAGCTGCAAGAATTAGCATTTTTGGCAGAAAAACTGGGATGTACTTCAACTCAACTTACAGTTGGTTAGTATAACATAAACAGAATTATAATATCATAAGTTAATTTGATTTTAATGAATGAAAATTTATCAGCTTGGTGTCTTAAGAATGATGGCGTTCACTGTGTGCTCGTTGGAGCTTCTACAACAGAGCAACTATATGATCATCTTCAAGCCCTCCAGGTAAAATTTCCTTGTTTACAGTATTATTTTATTAATCTTTTAATAATTTTAGAATAATTATAATAATGAAATTTAAATATTAAATAATTTGATATGATCTTCAATTGATCTTTATTTTCACTAATTTTTAATTACAGATTGTACCTAAATTAACACCAAATGTCACAAATGAAATTGAAAAAATTCTAGACAACAAGCCAGTCAGGCAGCCTATTCAGAGTTGACTAGTGCCGGGGCGGGATCCCTTCATAAGGGGTTCCGCCTTGGCTGCCATTACTGCCGCTGCCGCCGCAGCTGCAAATGCAACAGAAGAAACTGAGGGCGGACCAGAAAGAGAAGACAGTGGGATGGGAGAAAGTAACACGCACGGGGGAGGGAGTGGAGGACTCATGGAAAGTCTTCTATCTGCCTGTGTAATACAATGACAGCATATTGCTTAAATTTACATTGTATATACTCTAATGCTAATTAGCAAAATTAAAGCCAGTTTTATTTGGCTTTAATAGGCTCAGATGGGAAAATATAAGATTAAGAGAACAGTTTTACAAAATGCAGATAAGATTAAATTATCTGAGTTTTGAAGGACACAATAGTATTCTAGATTCTATTGTGTACGAACGTTTTAATATTTGGCTGTAGATTTAGATATGATTCTAGTTATAACTTTATTCACACTTCAAGAATTTTTTATATCTTACAACCAATTTCAGCATGCAAAACATATAGTGTTAGTTACACTGTATATTACAGATAAATACTCTTAGAATAGATTAAAAACAAAAACTATAGATACAAAAATAACCAATGCATAAATATTAAATTATTGCATTGGTCAGTCAGTTCTTTTCCTCTAGTTATAACTCATCTCAAACTAAAGTGCTTTCACTTGATTTTCAAACATGTTAACAGGCAGCAGATGAAAGGCACTGTTTAGCAAAGCCATCAATAATGTAATTAAATGGTCGTACACAAATAATGTACATACAATATATAAATATACATACAAAAATTACACAATACACAAATACACGTACACACACATACACTATATATATATATATATATATATTTAGGTAATTTTTTATTATGGATTGTTTACAAATGCTGCTAGGAAGTATCTGCACTGATGTACAAACTGGACTGAATTATGCACTGGAAAACCAATCATTGGCGTGTGTAATGATTGTGTCGTAAGCCGGGAAGCCAGGCTATTGTAATATTTCCGAAAGTTGGTATAAACTAAAATTTAGTTGCCTGACTTTTTAAGTGCCTTCTTGTTGCCTATTGCATATACAAATATCAACAATTGTTATTAATTTGTTGGATGCCAGTTATACAAGAGACTGTTAGGTTTTGACAGAAACTTTAACTATGTTATGTTTAAATCCTAATTCCTTTACATACTTTATTATTCATATTATAAAATTGTGTGTCATTGCCACATATTGTATTTACAAATTTACTAATTAATAGAATGAATACCTAAAGATTTCTAGCATGCACTAAGCTAATGTATATTACTATAATAAATATTTACTATAGTGTGAGTTGTAACTAAGCAGGCAGAGTTACAAGTAGGAATAATATAGAGACAGATTATGCATAGAAAATAATTTTAAGTCAGCCCAGCATAGGAAATAAGTAATCTTGCATAGCCTGCATTTAGACATTTTGACTCATTAATTAGTTAACTTGACAGGTTTCCTTGAGATATTTTGAACTGTGATGGAATTTATCATAATGCCATAAAAATGCTCAGGAGTAATTATATCAAAATCGAATTTTTGATAATTCGTATAACTAAAACAAAGAGTAGACTTACAATTACTACATTTTGTAAATATGTAATTCAGAATTGATGTTTATCTGTCATTTTTTGTAGAAACTTCTACAATTTGTTTTTTGGTTAATTTTTCTGTTTGGAAATAAAATAAAAGTGATTGACTTTCAATTATCCAAAAATGGTAGAAATGAAAGGTGTACATATGTACGTTTACTGTTTGGAAGAAAAGAATTTCCAAGATATAAGACAGAAAAAAACTTTGTCATCTCCCCTTGTAAATAGGAAAAATTTTTGTAATTTCTTAGATCCTTCAAATCTCTTCTATGAGCAATTCTTTTTAATGTTACAGTTCTCCATTCAAGATAATTGATAGTCAAACACATAAGCAAATGTGTGTTTAAAATGCAATAACATAAAGAAGAATTTGCTTGAATTTGTACATCTTAATGGTTCATATTTTTATAAATTATCATGTTACATTCGGATTTAACAATTAAAATGGCTCTATGTATCCATCGTAACTCTCCTGCTTAGATTTTTAAAATCAAATTTATTACAAACTCTTAACTTTTATTAAAATTCATTATTGAATTTACTACTTCCATTTGAATTTCAATAATAGATGTTAAATAATAAATACCCCAATTTCATTAAATGTTTCTTTACGTGAAATTACTTGTATTGATAAGTTCTAATAAATCTACTCTTTGAATGCAATAATTCCAGCTCTCTTGTTTAGTAGACAAGATTTTAGAGAAAACACTTGGCAAATAAAAACTGATTTATATTTTTAATTTAAAAAGTAATTTCATGTTGTATTATAAGAAATTATTTAAGTTACAAGTGTCCAAAGTATTTAGTTAAAAATATATATAAACTCTGTATTTATTTTTGAATTATGTATAGAATGAAGTAAATTTAAATTAAAAATTTATTTCTCAAATTATTCTGAATATTTAAATTATTCATTATTTATTTTAGTTTTAATAAGTGACATAGCAAACATTCCATTAAAGACATTTTGCTACATAATATGGATCAAAAAGCTCTGTCTTTGGTTACACTCTTGAAATTATGTTTATTGTATACTATTTATGATACTCAGAAATAATTTTTGTAATACATCGCATTTAATTTTTTTTAAATTTTAGATTATTCTTACATAAAGATCTTCAGTTATTTAATGGACTGACAATAATGTCAATATTGAAATATCAACTATAAATGTCTTTAATGTAGAGACCTTGTCATTCTAAGAACTAGGTGTCTATATGTGTAAAATTTAACAATTAGTTATTTATGTATTCATAATTCATTCATAAAAATACTTACATAGTCATTTTTTGCAAATCTTATGTCAATTTTTATAATAGCTTAAGAATTATAATTGCAAAATTTTGATAAAATAATATGAGGTGTGTTCAAATATAAAGTATAATTTGATAATTAAACAAAATAAAAATCACACATTGATGTTTAGTACCTTATTTTTCAACATGATTCTCCTCTGCAATGTATTGGTGTCATCAATTGGGTGTCTTCTACACTCCTTGTAAGAAGAAATCTTTGGCAGCAAATGTACCAACTCTTGAACATCTTCAATTACCGAGTACTTTTTCGTTAGAGGTAAACTTCTTTCCTCATAAAAATTTTTTGACTGGTACAAATAGATGGAAATCTGACAAGGTCAAGGACTATATGGAGGATAAGAAAGTCCACTTCAATTTCTGAATTGTCACTTCATGTGAGTGGCAACATGTTAATGAATATTGTCCTGTAAGAAACATAGGGAAGTTTGACTTTTTTTTCTACTTGTTTCAAACGGCAGTTTTCACTGATGTAACCAGTGAAACTGCCATTTGAATAATAGGTTTTTTTCATAATTCAAAAAGTGTAGCAATGATTTTGCCTATTGTAAAGTTTGTATTGAAAGGTTTTTATTTTCTTTGTCTTTGGAGACCTAGTGTGATGCTATTGCATTGATAATCTTTTTGTTTTGAGGATATACATAGTAGTATACTGAAATCTCATCTGTTTTGACAATAGACTGTAAAGCTACATGTACACTGTAGTTTTTCCATTATCTAGTGAAGTAATCTTGCATAGCCTTATTTTTCATGTACAGTACAGTACAATGGAGTATATTTTTGATATAGAAGAGAACTCTATTTAGAGCAGTATTTTCTAACATGGTTGGTATTAATGAAAAGAGTGGTGATAGTGCAGATGACATTAAAAAAATTTGTTTTGATTAATAAAATAGTAGCATTTGTCTTGTTTATAAAAATTTCATGTTACATTAACTCTACAATGCTCTAGACCAGTGGTTCCCAAACTATATTATGTATCAACTGCTTTTAAGAAAAATTTTTCCATCGAACCCCTTCAATAATATATTACATATAAATATATATGTAACAGCTTCCTACGTAATTTTTAACTCCTTAACTCTGCATTTATTTGACACCTTAAGTTGTGCCATTTTTGGATAATTTCCACTTCAGAAATGTTTAAAAATTCCTCTATTTTTTAAGATTCTAGATTTTTGATCCCTTTTACTGTATTCTCTTAACAAAATAATCCACAATTACAGAAACATTTCATATTGTTGAATTCAAAACAGATTAATATCCTTTCTGTTGTGAATCTCTTCCACTTGTGATATTTGCCATCACTTGACATTTTAGTGCATGTGCTGAACGAAGCTCTTCCTACAGCACAAAAATCTGTTTGAACAAAAAAATAGAGCTAGAGAATCTAGACCATATCACTTTATTTCATCTAGACCATAGCACTTTATTGTCATTTACACTGTGATTCTACTTAGACCATTAGTCTCCTAGAGACAGCTAAGATAAAATATCACTAACATCCACATAATGTAGAGAGCTTTAGCTAGATCAAATCTAGCTGAAAAGTTTACAGTGTACATGTAGCATAAGAATTCATTATCCTCGATTTCATATCATGCTAACAATGTTTGGTCAATTTGCAATTATGACTATTTGTGAATGTTGGTTAACATTCTTGGGATCCAATGAGCACACACCTTCCAATATTGAAGTTGATCTTGGATGTACTGTACAGGACATTTCCAATCCTGTTATGCAAAATTGAAGTAATGTATCTTTCAGTAATTCACTGATCATTGTGAATAAAAATCACCGCCACCACGATAAGCCTATTAATTTAAACAAAAGTCTCTGCTGTTTTCAATGATAATGGGTTTAGGAATGCAGTTCCTTCTCAACATGTTCTTTCATCTGTAAAAGCTATTAAATATACTCTTTTTTCACTAAACTATTTCCTTAGCCTGTTACAAATTTTCATGGATTTTACCTCTTCCTTTGTAAGAAATTTAATTATAATGCATTGTTCCATGCATGGATGAATCTTTGCCTTACTTGTGACTGTTACTTCTATTGAAGTTTAAATTTATGTTTGAGTGACAAGTTTAAGATAATAAACAATGCACAATATCATGTGATGGGTAAAGCATGATTTAGATGAAAAATTTAAATTATTATTTAAATTTGAATGCTCTCTGTAGTTTTCAAATTTTAATGAGAAGTGAAATTGAAACATAGAAGTTAATTAATTTTTCCTTTATATGCATTATTATTTTTTATGTAAGTCTTACATTATAAATTCTCAAATAATAATATGTTTCTAAATTATTTATGATTATGATTAAATATAGGATGATTGTAAAATTCTGAATGATTTGACATATAAAAATGAAGATTGAGGTGACCAATTTGCATAATAATAACATTAAATATGTTTTATTTTATATGTAAAAATTTTGATACTATAAATAATGATTCTTAGAGTTATAGCCAAATGTGGAATTTATATCTTCTACACTTTTACCTTCCACATTTAGTCTCTGTATGAGTCATCTGTAGATAAGGATATCACTGATCTGTGATTTACTTGAGTATGCAATCTTGCATATGATTTCTGACTTTGGTATCTAACATTGCGTGTATTGTAAAAAT